AGGAACGAAGGGGAAAGGGGGGCCTCGGTGCCCTTCTTGCAGATTGTAAGTCACACGAAACCGCGATTGTTCCCTGCGGAGTGATCCCAGGGCGGGTCTGGGCGGGTGGCAAAAAAACCCTAAACCCTATGAACCCTAAGCCCTGAACCCTAGAGGGTTTTAGGTTCCCTAGACGGCTTCGAGCTTCCCCTCGGGCTGAGGCGCTGCGGGCCGAAGGTGCGAGACGGGGTTGAGGGTTTAGGGTTTAGGGTTTTGGGTTTAGGGTTTAGGGTTTAGGGTGCAGGAGTTACGAGAGTTCAGCCCTGATCTGAACCCTCTACCCTAAGCGTCCCTAAATCCTCAACCTTTCTCTTTCCCCCAAAGCCCTGAAGGCTGAAAGCCCTCAACCCCACACCCAAAGCCTAACCCCATGAACTATAAACCCCTAGAGCCTGAATCTCCTAAACCCCTAAACCCTCCTAAACCCCTGAAACACGAAACTCCTTAACCCATCCGAAACCCCTCCGAAAACCCCCCAAACCCTTCCTAAACCCCCCGAAACCCTCCAGCAAAACCACACCCAAACCTTGAGGCACTATAACCACCCTAAGGGTCCATGTACCCATATAGTATATGGGCCCTAAAGCTACTATATGGGAACCCCTTTCAGGCCCAGGCATATACTACCCTAAACCCTAAACCCTAAACCCTAAAATCTGGGTACATGGACCCTGACCTGAGGGCCAGACTTGAAAACCCGCCCATACCGGGAGGCACCGTCACCGGCGGCGGAAGCGAGCTGCGAGTGTCGCTTCGCGAGTCCTTAGGCGCAGGGTTTGGGGTTCAGGGGCTGACTTCGACAGTCCATAATGAACTTGAAATCTATGATTTAGAGTACTTTATAGTGTTTAAGACGTTGTATGTTGGATATAATATGGGGCTCAGGGTAATGTAGGATTAACTTTCATGATGCCATGGTGCGGGCTGGTCCAGGGTCGTACCGGATCCCAAATTGTCAGGGTTTTGTGGGGTCGGCTTTTCCGAGTACGTCACACTTGACTTTAGACATCTGCTAGGGCTTGTGATGCCGAAGAGCAGCTTGAGCGTCGAATCTATACGAATATACTAAAATAATCATAATAGTAAGATCCTAATATACCAATATACTCATATACTCATAATATATTAGTATACTCGTATACGTATATATCCATATACTAGTATACCAGATTCTGCAAGCCCATGAGGCAGGCTCGAGGCCGCTGGCCTCGTCCGCGGCCGCAGGGGGACCTTCGATCGCCCACGACCCTCACAGGAGAGTTTAAGGTTTAGGGTTAGGGTTTAGGGTTTAGGGTTTAGGGTTCAGGGTTTAGGGTTTGGAGTTTAGGATGTTTTGGCTTGCTTCCCTGGATGTTTTTAGGCTTTGCTCGTTCCATACCATGCAAAATGGTCTCCCCGAAACTCGAAACCCTAAACCCTACAGCCGAAGCCCTTAACCCTAAACTGCAGTTGCCATATACTCATGCGGCTGCACTCTCGCAATCTTGCTGCACGCTACAACGCACCTCACAAAACTGTGCTAGAATAGACTCTGTTACTGAAAGAGCCCATGCCTTCACGCGCAAGCATCTAAACCTCTCTTAGGTTAGGGATTAGGGACTTCTCCAGGTCTGGGTTGCCAAGAAGGCGGATTCAGGGTTTCGAATTGCTTAGCTTCAGTAGCCATCTTGCTTGTGATCAAGCCGAAGCCCCGTTGTTCGCCTGTTTAGGGTTTAGGGTTTAGGGTTTAGGGTTTAGGGTTTAGGGTTTAGGGTTTAGGGTTTAGGGTTTAGGGTTTAGGGGCAGCTCTCCGAGCAATGGGGAGGAAGCGGAAGCCCAAGCGCGAGAAGCACAAGTGGGAGGGAGGGGGGTTTCTCGTGCGAGATCCCATTACCGTCTACGATGAGAGCACCCTCAGATCCCAGGTTGCCAGTTCTCAAAACTTGCTCGGATTTAAATGGGTTTAGGGTTTAGGGTTTAGGGTTTAGGGTTTTAATTTAGGGTTTAGGGGTTTAGGGTTTAGGGCTTAGGTCCCTGAACCCCAGAGATCCCCAGGAATGGTCATCTCTCCAAAGCATGGTCCGGGTTTACATCCACTTGTTTTTTGAATGTGAGTTTAGGGTTTAGGGTTTAGGGTTTAGGGTTTAGGGTTTAGGGTGTAGGCTTTAAGGAGTCCAGTTGCAAAAAAGGGTGTAGGCTTTAGGGTTTAGGGTTTAGGGAACCAAAAACATGAGCCCGCAGGTGACGCGCAGGCTGGGCGCAGGTTGTACAGTGGAGCTGTTGGACTCAGACATTTCTCCTGGTGCGGAGTTCTTGCCTTGTCGCTTTTACAGCCAGAACAAGCTGATGCTGGGATTCATCAAAGTTGAGAAGCCTGGAGGACAAGAGGCCTGCACCTTTTTCGGGTGCCAGACCCACACCAGCATCGCCACCCAAACCAGCAGCACCACCCAAACCAGCATCGCCACCCAAACCAGCAGCACCACCCAAACCAGAAGCAAAGCCACCACCCGTCCTTCGAGCTGATAGCCTTCCTCGAACACATTGGCCCACTCTGAACAAGCTGTTGGGAAAGATGTGTAGCAGTCCTGATGATGCCAATCTCATCCTGGGCTGTCTCCTCCCTGAATATTCAAGGGTTTCCTCCCTAGAGCCACAGCAATATGGCTTGAGAGGGGGGCGCATGTACCACAAGCCTTGCGGCTGGCTCCGCTTTGCAGTCACTGCAACGCGAGAGTACGACGATTGGTGCGTGGCATACCACGGAACACGTCACAACAACATCCCATCCATTTTGGCACGTGGCCTTCTTCGACCTGGCAGCGGCAGTGTGCCGGTGGCGCATGGGCAAGCTCACAGCACAACGGGCCAAAGTATCTACGTAAGCCCGTCGATTGAGTATGCTGCTTTCCCGGTCTACTCTCAGTTCTTCGAGGTCGGAAAGGAGCATTGGGCTCAACTGGTGGTTCAGTGTCGTGTTTGCCCCTGGTCTTTCCAGGAGAAGCCAGGGACTTTGGGAAACAAGTACTGGCCTCAAGATCTTCCTATTGACCCGCCGAGTTTTCCAACTTGTGATGGGCTTGAGTGGCTCATTGAGGATGAATCGCTGTTTGTTCCCACGGCTCTCCTCCTTCGGGAGTTTGGGCCGGGTGCAGATCCCGGCCTGTTCGGCCCAATTACATGCCAGGTGCGGAGGGGATCGCATGGGCCAGAGTACGAGTGGACGCGCTTGCGTGCCGAGCACATAGCACGCAGCAACCCTCGACAGCCTTCATGGTGCCAGGTGATGTAGGTTTTAGGGTTTCGGGTTTAGGGTTTAGGGTTTAGGGTGATGACTGAGTTCGCTGTGGCAAGTCGTGGCCCGAATGGGCCATGCTATTTGCCAAGCATGCAGCTTTTGGATCCTTTTAAGGCCTCCTAGCCTCCAGGGCCCTAAGGTTACTCCCTAGTCTATCCCTTAAAGAAGGTTTCCATATAAATACAAGGTACCTATTTACCTACTTCCCCAAATTCCATCTTGTACTTCAGGTGATGTGAAATCCCGGGAACCACATTTTGATTTTGTGGTGCCCTACTTTGCTTATCTTTGCTTCTGCAAAAACGAATCAAAAGACCGCAGGGCCCACTGGCCGGTTTGCTGGACGCGGTTTCAGTCTCTGATCGTGCCTTGTGAACCCTGAACCCTAGACCCTAACCGACTGGCAATGCAACGAGGGCCAACTACTTCGGAACGAAACACTTAGCAACATCACTACGATGTAAACGCCCCCTCAAACCCTAGACCCTAAACCCTAAACCCCTTGTCCGACGCCCCGAAAGGAGTGGACTGCCGGCAGAGCGCGCCGGCGCGCGCGGAGCGAGGATGCAGCGGAGTTGGCAGGAGCTGGTGGGAGGGTTAGGGTTCGCAGGGCTTAGGTTTAGGAGGGTTTAGGGTTTAGGGTTTAGGGTTTAGGGTTCCGAACTCAGAAACCTGAACCACTCAAGTGTGCCAGTCAGTTTCGATTTCGATTGCGCATCGAGATGCGAGCGTTCTCTGCCCTAAGCCCTAAACCCTAAAGCCTAAACGCTAAACCCGAAAGCCTAAACCCTAAACCCTAAACCCCCAGAGTTGCCCTAGACCTGAACCCCCAAAAGGCAGTAGCACAAGTCGAGGAGCTCCCATCCCTTGGTTGAGGGTTCGGGTTGGCTTTGTGTGTGTGTGTGTCTCTCCTAATCCAGGCTTAGGGTTTGGGGTTTCGGGTTCCCCTAAACCCTAAGCCCTAAACCCTAAACCCGAAACCCTAAGCCCTAAGCCCCAAACCCTAAGCCCTAAACCCTAAATCCTAGACCCTAAACCCTAAACCCTCACTTTTTTCAGTTGGGCCCCAAAAAGAAGTTCTAGGGCTCGATGAGCATGAGCCCGTGACGAGCGCAGGGCCATGTAGGGCCTTGCAAGGTGGGTTTAGGGTTTAGGGTTTAGGGTTTAGGGTTTAGGGTGTAGGGTTTCGAAAAAAGGGTTTAGGGCTTAGGATATAGGGTTTAGGGTTTAGGGTTTAGGGTTTACGGTTTAGGGTTTAGGGTTTAGGGTTTAGGCATCATCTCGCACCGTCTTTGGTAGGTTCTCCGCTGGACAGATCTTTCGGGTTCAGGGTTGAGGGCTTAACAAAGGAAACCCCCGAGCCTTCAAAAGCTAAGCCCCAAATCCTTCAACCCTAAGGCTGAGCCTTGAAATGGTTTGCTTGAGCCGGCTTGGTACGATTTACTCCAGATCTCCTTCGCGAGCAAAGTTGCGAGTAATTACTGCCGCTTATGCAACATACAGGTCGGTCATAGCCATTTCAAACAAGTGCAGAATCGGTTTTGTCTCATATGACCGACAAGCGGTGTGTTTGGCGACGAATTTCTTCGCCAGTGGCTGGTGCAAGATACAACTGCAGTGGCTCGAGTTCGATTCAGGTACCCAGCACCAGGAAAGTCGGACCTGCCGTTGTTAGGCTGTTGCCATGATGCGCTGCTGCCTCTACCCTCCACCGGCGGCACTGACATATACTTCATGCAAACAGCTTCCAGACCATAAGCCAAGCACACCGCTGAAGGGTCGCAGCCTCTATCCCGCACCAGAGCCTCTGACCTATGCTGGTATAACATCCACAGACCCGTTACAAACATGTTGTCAACCAAAGGTGGAACTGTTGCCGCAGGAACGAACACCGGAAAGCATGGCATCAGCTCAACGGCACGGGAGCATTGCCATCATGGGTCTTGACAATGCTGGCAAAACTACGCTTCTACGAATGCTCGAGGATGACAAGATTGTAGAGCATGAGCCAACCGTTCACGCACAGAAGAGGCAGCTGGTTTTAGAGGACAATCACTTTGAAGCACTGGACTTGGGAGGGCATCAGACTGTGCGAATCCTTTGGAAGAAGTATGCTCTGCATGCGGCAGGCATCGCCTTCCTTGTAGATGCGGCTGACCGCACACGGTTTCAAGAGGCTTCGGAAGAGCTCGGGCAACTTCTTGATGAGCCGCTGTTGGGTCACATACCCGTTGCGACTAGGATGCCCAGTATTGCCCTCATTCCCATTTTGAGGGGTTAAGGTTCCCTCATAAACCCCTTTAAGCCAAGAAGGGCACCCTTTTTAAATCCTAGGTTACCGGACAGCCGAGGCGATACTCGCCATGAAGACGGACTTGCCCCAGTCCGCGTGCGAGGCGGAGATTCGCCACGCCCTGGGGCTTTATCAAGGCAACTTACTTAGCCAACAGTTGAACTTTAACCTTTTTGGGCTTCCTTAGTAGGAAAAATGAAGTTTAGGGTTTAGGGTTTAGGGTTTAGGGTTTAGGGTTTAGGGTTTAGGGTTTAGGGTTTAGGGTTTAGGGTTTAGGGTTTCCTTTTTTCCCCTTATATGAGTATAGAAGTAAGGCAAGGGCACATCGAGGATTGGTGGATCTCCAAGGCTCTTCTTGTGCAGCCTCTTCCAGCGGGTTGGCTACACCGAAGCTTGGTGGGGTTTAGGGTTTAGGGTTTAGGGTTTAGGGTTTAGGGTTTAGGGTTTAGGGTTTAGGGTTTAGGGTTTAGGGTTTAGGGTTGTATCTTTAGATCCTTAGCCTTTTTGGGGGGTTCCTTGGGGTTTCTTATAAACTTTAACTTTATATTCTTTAGATCCTTAGCCTTTTGGGGGTTTATTGGGGTTTCTTATAATAAGGCAGCTAGAGATTTAGAATTTATAACTACCCTCCTAACTGCAGCCAAGGAAGCCATCAGGTGGCTCTTGGCAGGTGCGGAGGGCACCATTGCGACACATGCAGAAGATCAGAGAGTGACGGCCGCTCGCATCAGAAAGCATTTTGCAGCCATGCGGGCTGGCTTCGGCGGCCCTCCACTATATACAGACTTTGGTGTTGATGGCATCCCCACTCATGACACACATGGCTGCGCACTGGAAGCCCATGAGAGAGCAGGAGTTCGCAAGAGTGCTGTGATTGCCGGCCTCTTGCCTGCAAGGCAAAATTATGTTCTGCTCTGAGGTTGGGCCTCCTCATGTGCTGGGGCCCACGATAATGGTTCGGGCATGTACAGCAAGCCCTAGTAAGTCTTGGAAAGCACTGTGGCAGAGCCACCCCCAGGATCTTTTCGTGCATACGCTTCAGACGAGGTTTCTGAGAAGATTTGTTTGGCTGTTGTGCCTGTAGTTGGTTCTCTTGGCAGGTCCGCGTTTGATGTGCTCCTGTTTCGGAAACCCCTGTCACACACTCGGGACAAGAGGTTCAGTGTACAGCCTGAGATGCCTTCCCGCAGAGTTAAGATTGGCAAGCCTCGCGCGGCTGCTGTCGCAGAAACGAGAGGTGTCTGGCAGACAGGACCTGTGTGCTTAGGAGGGGCTTGGTCGGCTTATTGTGGTATAAGTTCTTTAGGGACCAGAAGGGAATGCCTCCCTAAAACCCTAAAACCCTAAAACCCTAAAACCCTAAAACCCAGAAGGGGTCCAAAGAACGTCTGGGAGGCGCGGGTTCGTTGCGTGTAGGATTTTGGTGGTTGAGGGGCTCAGCCCTTAACCCCTAAACCCTAAACACGAAGTGGATTCGCCCCAGCTGTGCAGGAGGGAAAAACAACCCGAGGTTTGAAGGGGGCTAAACCCTAAACCCTAAACCCTAAACCCTAAACCCTAGACAGTTTGAAGGGAATTCAGGGGCTGAGGTTCCCTGCAATGCGCAGGAGCGCTGCCGACAGCACAGGACCCGCTGCGGAGGCGTTCCATGACGCACGCGCCAGCGCGGAGCTTGGGGAGCTGCTTCAAGCCTTCAGTCCCCGAAACCGTTGGATCCCAAAGTTCAGGGTTTAGGGTTTAGGGTTCAGGGTTTAGGGTTTAGGGTTCAGGGTTTAGGGTTTAGGGTTTAGGGTTTAGGGTTAGGGTTTAGGGTTTAGGGCGTAGGGTGGGTTGCAATTGTGGGCCAGCTATGGTAACTCTTGGCCCCTACAAGGATACGGAGCCTTAGACAAAGTTTTTCCCCAAAAGGCACCATCTTGCGAACTTGGCCATTTGGCTTTGCAGTGGGCCCATCAAGACATACAGGCAACGGCCCTAAGCACAGGCGGTTGGATGCCTCCCTTTTTCCCTTTAGGGCCCACATGAGGGTTGCAGAGTTTAGGGTGTACGGTTGTCCCCTGAAGGTGTGGGTTGAGGGTTGAGGGTTGAAGGTTGAGGGTTGAGGTTTGCGGGTTGCGGGTTGAGGGTTGAGGTTTGCGGGTTGCGGGTTGAGAGTTGAGGGTTGAGGGTTTTAAGGTTTGAGGGTTAGGGTGTGGGAGACTCAGGAACGACATGCAGCTTGTGAGCTCCCAGCGCCAGTAGGTGACACCATTTGCAAAGCAATCCTCTTGCCAATAAAGGCTTTGGCACTGTTCCAGCGGCGATCAGGATTGGGTCCTAGCACTGGGTACTCAGTATTGCCGGTTTGGGCTCTTGGCCTAGTCGTTGCCATACTGCAATCTCTACCTCTTGCTGTTTCCCATTTCGAGCGCCGCCGATATTGAAAATTCCCGCCTGGTTCACGTCTGAGATTTGCTAGTTCCTGATAGTTTGTAGTCCTTCCTGAGGAGCCCTGTGACACCCTTACTTGACCCTTACTCTTTTCATTAATGAGGCACCTGGTGGTACTGTTTTGCTAGAAGGACCTGGCAAGCCTCAAACTCGACTCCTAAACCTAGGTGGGACTTTACTACAACTTTAGCACTTTATAAGTTTAGGGTTTCTCTAATTTCACAGATTAAGGGAGCTAAACGTTAAACCTTTATTGGTGGGGGGGGGGGTTAAAGAGCAACCAAGAAACTCTAGACCCTGATGCCCGACGGCACCGCTTGCCCAGGTCCCATCATCGGCCGCGCAAGACCCTGGCGAGGCTTGGCCATGCGGATAAGAATTACAACAGGGCTTCAAGGTTTTTTGGAACTCCCCTAAACCCTAAACCCCTGAACCCTGAACCCGAAAACACAAAAACTCGAGACCCCAACCCGACTCCCCCCCTCAAAAAAAAACAGAAAAAGGAAAGCAAGAAACAGAAACAAATATATCTATATATGTATGTGTATATATATATATATTTATTTATTTATTTATTTATTGATGTATACATATATATATATACGTATAAGAGAACATAAAAAAAGAATAGAAAAAACTACAAATTCAAATTAAAAAAAAACTCTGCGCCCTCCTCCAGAGAGGTGTGCGCGGCACCCCGGCGCGCCGCGAGTGCCGACTCGGTGCTCAGAGGCCATGTTGGGTTCAGGGTTTAGGGTTTAGGGCTAGAAGTTTAGGGTTTAGGGCTTTAGGGTTTCAGGGTTTAGGACTTAGGGTTTAGGGTCTAGTGATGGAGGTTTAGGTTTTAGGGTTCTTGGGTTTTAGGGTTTTTAGGTTTTCGAGTTTAGGGTTTAGGGCTTTAGGGTTTAGGGCTTTAGGGTTTAGGGTCTAGTGATGGAGGTTTAGGTTTTGGGGTTTTAGGGTTTTTGGGTTTTAGAGTTTAGGACTTAGGGTTTAGGGTTTAGGGCTTTAGGGTTTAGGGGTTTAGGGTTTAGGCTTTTAGGGTTTAGGGCTTTAGGGTTTAGGGGTTTAGGGCTTTAGGGTTTAGGGCTTTAGGGAGGGGTTTAGGGGTTTTGGGGTTTAGGGTTTAGCGTTTTATGCTTTTGGACTTAGGTTTTAGGGTTCAGGGCTCCAGGGTTTAGGGGTTTAGGGTTTGGGGTTTAGGGTTTCGGGGTTTCGGGTTTAGGGGTTTTCGGGTTCAGGGTTTTAGGGTTTGGGGTTTTTACGATTTATGGTTTTAGGGTTTTAGGGTTTTAAGTTTTGGGTTTATGGATTTAGGGTTTTAGGGTTTTGGGGTTTAGGGTTTCGGGTCTCGGGTTCTTTTGCACCAGTCAGCGGGGTCTAACCGGGCGCGGACGCAGGCAAGCGTGATGCTAAAGGGTTTGGGGTTTCGGGTTCAGGGTTGCCTTTGCTAGCTCCGGGGATGTTTGTTGAAATTTTCTGGCCAGGACGTCATAGCCCGGATGCATAAAAAGGCAGGGCTGAGGTCTCTTCAAGAACAGGTTTGGACATTAGAGGGATCAAATCTACTTGGCGATTCATGGGTACCTAACAAGTAGGGAGTCAGTCTGCCAGCTACAGGGCTTCTCATGAGCTTGCTTCTGTAACTCGCCATGAACCTCCAAGTAGGGACCTGGGGCTTCGGTTTAGGGTTTAGGGCTTAGGGTTTGGGGTTTAGGGTTTAGGGTTTAGGGTTTAGGGTTATTAGAGTTTGGGCTTCTAGAGGGTACTTCCAGAACTTTGCCGGAGGATGCGGGGACTTTGCCAGCGTGGACCGCGAGAAGATCAAGGCAAAGCTGGGGGGACTCTTTCGTTTGGCCAAGTGGGTGTATAGCTGCATGCCCCTGAATATTGCCCCTCACCTTTCTGAGGTGGTTCTGGAAACCCAAAGAAGGTGGCCCCTGCAACAAAAACTGCCTGGGCGCCGGAGCATCATCTTCTTTGCTGCTGTGAGCCCTAAACCCTAAACCGTAAACCACCATGCACAAAACCGACCGCAAGTGCACCCCTGATCTCCTGACATGCCGCGAGCCCGGCATGTGTCGTTTCAAGGTGCAGCGGTCTGGGACCTCGACTCCCCAAGCATAGCCCTAACCCAGCTTGAGCCATGTGGTAGGTGATCAAAATACCTGTTCCCAAAATGGCCCATACTTTCCTTCTCAAACCCAACACCAATCACATTTGGGGATGGGATGTGTGTGTGCGTGTGGTTTTAGGGTGTGTGTGTGGTTTTAGGGTTTAGGGTTGAGGGTTTAGGGTTTAGGGTTGTGTGTGGGTGGGGTGTGTAGAGGCTTCCTTGATGATCAGCCCGAGACCGAAGATGCTTGGCTGAGGTCTCGGGGTTTGAGGGTTTGAGGGTCTAGAGGTTTGAGGGTTTGAGGGCTTTGGGCTTTTGGGCTTTTGCGGAAACCCTAAACCCGAAACACTAAACCCTAAACCCGAAACCCTTTGTGGTCTTAGGGTTTCTTGGGCTGCTTTTGCCTGACTCTTCGGAGCCCGCCGCCTCTTCACACCCCACCCGGACCCTAAGCCTCGTGAAATGCGGGCTGGGCATGGCTGCTGAGGTCCTGGGGTTTTGGGTTTTGGGTTTTGGGCTTAGGGTTAGGGCTTAGGGTTTAGGTTTAGGGTTTAGGGTCTGGGGTTTAGGGTTTAGGATTCTTGTACCATCAGATCAGTGATGCATGGGCTCGACAGCTAGAGGCACTTAACATAGGTTCTTAGTGAGAAGCTCGAGCAATCAACCGGGCGGGAGCGGAGAAGCCTGAGTGAACGGTTTAGGGTTAGGGGTTTAGGGTTTAGGGATGTCCCAAGTGGCAGGCATGCCGCGTAAGGTTCGATGGTTGCTTTACTGTCTGGCGTGTTCCCTCTGCTTTGTGCGTGCCAGCATGATTACAAGGACGTATCTGCAGCGAGCCATCAACCTATAGACCCCACACTGCGGACCCCCAAGCCCTAAACCTTAAACCCTAAAACCGAAACATGGGCTCGATCTGAGGACACCGGCGCAGGACCCGCCTCTTGGAGGGTGTAGGGGTGGAGTTGAGTATCTTATAGATACCCTGAAGCCTAATACTTGGAGGTTTATGGTAGTTATACGGCAGCTGTACCGAAAACCTAGTTTGAATACTTAGAACCCTACACCCATGTAGCTCCAAGTAGTGCCTGCTTCTGGAGGACGCCACGCCCGCGGAGAGCTCCCATTGTGGACGAGGCTTGCTGGGTAAACGGTAAACCCTAAACTCTAAACCGTCATGGCCTGTCCACAGCTTGCAGGGGATTTGGGGTTTGGGGCTTAAGGGGGTTTTATGGTTTCGGTTCGGGGTTTAGGAGACAAGCTGGAACCCTGCGTCGGAGATGTAAAGATGAGTAGTGCTGGTCAGCAGCTGGGTTGTTTGTTCTAGATGTTGCTGTTGTGTGGACTCCGGACCATTCCTCATAAGATGTGCAGTGTTGCTTCACGTCTCGAGGTCCGAGATTAAGACTTGGTCTACTGTGTGGCGTCTGGGTTTCAGTCGCTTTGGACCCAAAGGGGCGACCCTACACCCTGGCTTGTCCGAGCGGCGTGAGCGATTAACCCCTAGAGAAACACCCTACCCCCCCTCCCTGCCTCGCCATCCAAAGCTGAATGCCAACATCTCACAGGCGCAGCGCCCTCTCCGAAGCTTTCCGAGGCCTCTCCATGGTTGAGGTTTTGCGGGTTCAGTGAGGTGTGCAGCCCCGAGCAAAGATGTACCTCAGATTTTCGGGATTCAGAACTGCCCAAAGAAGACTGAGCTGCACCTACCGCCTGGAGCAATGGACACAGGCATCGGGAGGTTTCGGTGACCTGGTCTGAGGGAGATGGGTATTTCCCAGATAGGCGTACTCCCCATGTGGGTCATGCCAGATCATAGAGGGACCATCAGGGAATACCATTAGTAAGTATTCCGACCCCTATATTACACCAGCTTTGCCTAAAGTTGTGGAGATGCCAAGGTGGCTTTCTGAAGCAAAACCCTGGCGATCCGCAACCTCGAGATAAGACGCCTCGGTTATGTGGTGGGGGGTAAATACGTGCGGGGCGGTTGAGACTTTCACTGAGCTAACGACCTGTTTTTTTTTTTTTTTTTTTTGGGGGGGGGGGTCTGGAGTTCAGGGTTGAGGTTTAGAGACTTTTCGCCCCAGGCTCAAGCCTAAGCCCCCCCACCAAACACTTCTGAAAAATACCCTCGAGCTCGACAGAGCCCGCTTCTGGAGGACGCCACGCCAGCGGCGAGCTCCCATTCTGGACGAGGCTTGCTGCATACTGTCAGGGCCTACGGCTTGCACAGGGTTGGGGCTTTGGGAAAGTTCAGGGTTTAGTGTTTTTTGCTGTTCCTGAGCTGGGATTGTTGTTCTTTGTGTTCTTGTTGTGTTGACTGCGGAGCGGCCCTAAACCTTAATCCACATGGCATCACAAATCGAGAAGTTGCAAAAAGGTCCACATGGCATGTGTTGCTTTACGACCGAAGTCCGAGATAGTCCGAGACTCGGACAGGACTGTGAACGTCTGACCTCAACCGCAAAAAAAATAGCTCTCACACTATCTCAGAGGCGCCGCGCCCTCTCCGAAGCTTTCCGAGGCCTCTCCTTGCTTTAGGCTTTGCGGGTTCCGGGGGTTTAGAAGATGGCATACTGCGACAGCAAAAACCTCTGCAAGTGATGCCAGCTCAGGTTGAAAGTGATGCAGGGATGCAGTTGATCTCTTTGTGGTCCACGCTAACCCTAACCCTACACCCCAAATAAACCCCAGCTAGACCTCAGGTAATCTCCGGGGAAACCCCACGTAAACTCCAGGTAGGCACAAGCTAAAACCCTACCATAGCGGGCCAGGTAGCTTTGGGTAGTTTCTTGAAGTTTCCGGAAGCTTCTGGAAGTCTTGGGTTGTTCCAAGCAGTTTGGGTTAGGTTCAAGAAGTTTTCGGAGATGAGAAGGCCCCCTTTGTGTAGGACCCCTGACCCAAGGAATGATATGCAGCCCTCTACACCCCCCAAGAAAAACAGAGCAAAGATGTACTGGATATTGTTGGGAGCAGAATCGGATAAACTGCTCCACTCATTCAAGAAGCCACATCGAACCCTCAAGGCACGTTCTCTGAGTGTCGAGGCTGTGGAACCATCCAACACTTCCCCCACAAGCTTATGGAGCATTCTACGCGCAGCCCAGCACAGCTTCAGGACTAGATTGTGACTAGATCCCTTCACCAGTCGAAATGTGTCCTACACCTCTGAAATCGCCTTCTCACCCAGTTTGCATGGTCTAGGGTGCTTTTGCTGGACCCGAACCTGGCTGAACCCCCGGCTGTCAACCCTAAACCCGAAACGACACAATCCCTAAACCCGTAAAACCGCAAACCCCTCAACCCATCAACCCCTCAATCCCTCAACCTCTCAACCACTAAACCCCTCAACCCCTAAACCCCTCAACCCCTCAACCCCTGAACCCCTAAACCCCTAAACCCTAAACCGCAGGGCACCACACCCAGAGCCAGTTTCAGCTGCACTGGTCCAGGCTCCGTTGCGGGATTGGAAGGGTTTGGGGGGTATCGCAAGCCCTGCTTTAGGAGTCGGGAATAACTGCTGAATACTATTCCCTTCTGGTCCCGATACATTTATACTAAACTATCCCCCCAAAACCCTCTTCTAATTAGTCAGGCCCCCCAAATGATGGCGCCCCCCAGGGACGCAGTCTGCGACGAGGTTTCTTAGGTTGAGCTTAGGGTTGGGGGTTCAAGGGGTGTATATCGGGGCTGATGAGGACAAGACACTTGGTTCAAGGTTTGAAAACATGGGTAAGGGTGTTTGGATGTGTTCGGGGGAGTACTGCTCAGCCACGGCAAGGGAGCGTCTGCTCGCCTGACCCAAAGCACGAAACCCTAAACCCGAAAACGAAGAACAGGCCCTGTTATCCATCTGAAGAACACAGGTGCGGCGCCTTCTTCAAAGCCTCCCGAGGCCTCTGCTTTAGGTGTTTGAGGAGGCTTTGGGATTTAGAGTTCTTGCCAATCAGGGCAGACCTGAGAGAGCCCCAGCGCCTCCCAGCGATTTCTGGACGCTCAGATCCGACTCCCGAAGCCCTAAAACCCCAAACCCTCCAAACAACACCAGGAACCCCTCTAAAACCTTCAACCCTACAAGCCTGATTTCGACTCCCAAAGTCCTTAACCCAAAGATCCAGCCCCGAGGTTTTCAGACTGCGCACCTAAACTCGAACTCCTCGCGTCCAAATCCAACCTTAAGAGCCCCAAAACCTACCATTTTTCGGAAGTTGTTTAGGGACCTTCTAAGTGTCAAACAAAGTCTTTTTGGTTCTTAAGGCGTAGTCCTGAATCCTCCGCCCCCCCCATGCTCCGACGCCTTCCTTCAAAACCCTTCCAACGGACCAGGCGCCTGCGGGAAGGGTCACGGCCGCAAGGTCTGCAGCTGCGGCACCACAGCCCCCCGGGGCATGCGCGCGATGCTGCGCCTCGGCGAGTTGCTTGAGGGCCGCGAGGGTTTAGGGTTTAGGGTTTAGGGTTTAGGGTAAGGGTTTAGGGTTTAGGGTTTAGGGTGTAGGGTTTAGGGTGTAGGGTTTAGGGTTTAGGGTGTAGGGTTTAGGGTGTAGGGTTTAGGGTTTAGGGTTTAGGGTTTAGGGTTTAGGGACGACAGCACCAGTTGGGGAGGGTTAAGGACGGCATGTGTTTGAGACCGATGTTGACGAGTCTTGTGGGAAACCGCTCGGCCGGGCCTTCTGAGCCCTAACCGCAAGCCCCCTTGGCCCAAAACTGGGAAGTGCAGCAACGACCCAGGCGTTCCCTGATCAGCCCCTTTAAACCAAACAGGGCACCCTTTGTTATTCCTAGGTGACTCTTGTTTCAGTTTACCGGCCTGTTGGACGTTCTGGGCATCTGAACACTCAGGTCAGTGTCTAAAGGGCTGGCGACGCCCAGGAGAGCCGCTGCTTGAGCGAGAATGAAGCGCTCGGTCGGTTCCCCTTGAGCTCTAAACCCATAAGCCCTAAAACAACGACCCTGATGAACCCTGCCAAACCTCAAGCCCAAAACCCTTGCAGTGTATGCAGCGCGAGATGCAAGGAGCCTGGGTCAAAAAGGCACATCCATTGCAAAAGGTCCAGTGGCCGTCATGCTTCGGGTTACAGACATAGAGTTCTGTGTTATAAACCCTAAACAGTGACTGTGAAGTATGATGTGTTTCAATGCAGGAGCCCAGCGCCGATGTAGTAGTTGGGCCGGGGGGGGGGGGGGGGGGGCGGATTGGGTTTCCTGTGGTTTTCCCTTGAGGCCCATACAGCTGCTTGGTTTTGGACTCCGATGAGCCTATACAGCCTATTCGGACCGACTGCCTTGTGCGAGAGTGAGCGACGAAACTCTAAACCTTAAACCCTAAACCCCCTCAATGGTGCAAGTCAATCTTCGGTCGTTCTTCGTCGACAGAGCTATGCAACCCTTTTCGCGGAAAAATTACCCTAAACGCTAAACCCTAGACCTTAAACCCTAAACCCTAATCCCTAGGCATCCCAAATCTCGCCACTTCCCTGTTACGAGCAAGGAAGACATGCCGAGGGAATGGTCCGGGTTGTGTGGTTCAAGCATGTAGGGCTCTAAACCCTAAACCCTAAACCCTGGAATCCTCTCTCGCTGCAACCCTAAATTTAGGTTCTAGGGTTTAGGGTTTACGGTTTAGGGTTTAGGGTTCCTATAAACCCTGAACCCTGAATCCCTCATGGGGGAGTCTGGGGCTCGGCTCCATGTCCTCAACAGCTCTATAACGCTGAGCGCAGAGAAAGGGTATACCTTCCGGCTGCCACCGTGCACCTACACCTCCGCCATTCTTGTGGTGCACGCTCTTGTCAGAGACTGCAGAGCAGGTGCGCTTGAGTGGTATAGTTACGATTTTTACGTAGCGCTCGCGACTTTTGTGCTGGAGATTCTGTCCTGGTGTATCGGCGCCGGAGTCCAGATCAGCGTCATGGGCTATGTAAAACGTGAGTATAAATACGTGGAGAAGTGTCACGGCATATGCGTACAACTGCAATGGATGGTGGTCGGGGTCTTCCTCGCTGAGATGTTCAAGGAGCTGCAGGAGACTCTGTCGATGGCTGCGTGGCTCTATGTGGCAGAAGAAATCAAGTACCCATCCGCCAACGCTGAGACGCCACCTCCGGCAGCCCCCTCCGACGACGATTCGAGCGCGGATTCGAGCCTAGGGCCACAGCTTTCCGACGATAAAGCTGCAGGCGCTGATGTTCTGCTGAAGCCGGTGAAGCTCTGGGGAGTTTTCGTCGTCGCGTGCAAGCTTCTCGTGGCTCTGTGGGTCGGCATTGTGGGCATCGGCTTCATACTCAGATGCTTGGTAGCCCAGTGGTGCCCCTTTTCCCCTTTTTTTGGGGTTCAGGGGTTCCCTTCTAATTGAACCAACCAAAAAAGGGGTGCCCTTATTGTAACATGGTTTCTGGGGTGCCAAGGATCAGAGACTAACACGGATCTTGTTCTCAACTGTGTTGGGATGACGTTCATCCTCCAGATTGATGACACGCTCCATGCCGTCACCTCAGGCAGTGCCGCGAAGCAGCTGGTCCAAGATGTGCCGACTATGTCCTACAAGTGGAAACTTAGTAGCTGAGTGAGCACACTTTACTATACTGTACAATCCCCTATACAACTAAACGTGTGCACTTTTTTGGGGCTTATGAACTCAGCAACTAAGGAAATGTGCCGGCGCTGTCGAGGTGATCATGGGCATTGCAAAGCTCGTCGCGATTGTCGGGATCGCGTGCCTTGTTGTCTTCGTCGAGAATGACAGCGTTAACCCATGCAAACACAGTCGCGGGAAAGACGAGGATGGCAATGAGCATTTCTGTTAAGTTTCCTGTTGGAGGGCCCGCCAGGTTTGCAAGTGGCTGAGCCTTGCAGTCGACCGGAAGATGAAAAAAGCTTCGCTGACTCATCGCCGACTATTCCTTCTAGACCCCACATGCGAAGCATCAGTTAGACCGCAAGTGTGCACTGCACCTTGTACCCGGGTCTTTGAACCATCTTTTCCAGCACCCTAAACCCTAAGCCCTAAGCCCTTAGCCCTAAGCCCTTTCCACAACCAAGAGAATATCGCAAAATTCCTGCTCGCGGCTGTCCCATGAGCTACACCATTGCTTGGTAGCCCAACAATACCCTTTACCCCTATTTTTGGTTCCAGGCCGCCTCTTATAAAGTAAACCACCCAAAAACAAGGGCGCGCTTATTATAATATGTTTACTGGGCTACTAAGATTGGCAAGTTGATGCTAAAGGAACGAGCACGCGCCTTCGCCAAAAGGATCTATTGACCAACCCGTCCTTTCGCGGCTCGGAAGCTGTTATCTTCCGTGAGGAGACATTGATAAAAAGATACCCGGTTTAGGGTTTAGGGTTTAGGGTTTAGGGTTTAGGGTTTAGGGTTTAGGGTTTAGGGTTTAGGGTTTAGGGTTTAGGGTTTAGGGTTTAGGAGGAGACATTGATGAAAAAGATACCCCCCGGCCCCAAGCTCCAAAGTGTACGTCCTTGACCCTAAAGCCCAAACCGCCCTGAGCTGCTCTGTACGAGACATCACGAGGCTGAGTTTCGGAACCCAAACGCGAGCAGAGCCTTTTTGCATGCTCTGGAATTTCAACTCGGTGGCCAACACCAAGATGCAAGAACTTCATCCCAAAACCCCACCACTCTGAGGTTAAGGGGTTAAGGGGCTATTTTCTTGGGATCAGACTTGATTGTGACTTCGAGGTGAACGCTGCATAAGCCTTGAAAAAAGCACCCTTTCGAGAAAAAGGCTGGCCCTTTGTATTCTCAAGCTACTCTGAGATTCTTAGGGGTACTTGGAAATAAGTAATTTTTGGGTATTATATTTCCTAAGAAGCAGCAAAAATTACAGTTTTTGCTGGGGTTTCAAATTCAGTATAGGATTCCGCTTCTTGACGGCTGAAATTATAGCGTTGTTGCGATTTGGGGGGGTGGTGATGGGGTACGGCGAGGGTGGGATGCAACGAGTCTGAGAGTTGGCGCATGGGCCGCTTTCTCAGAGTAGCCAGCTGCAGAAACATCCACCGCTTCGCTGTGCAGGCATTCTTCAGGAGTGATCTCCCCCAGGAACTAGGGTTTAGGGTTTAGGGTTTAGGGTTTAGGGTTTAGGGTTTAGGGTTTAGGGTTTAGGGTTTAGGGTTTAGGGTATGGTCTTTCACACGATTCCTCTGCCTCTCCCCCCCTTCACAGCCGCCGCAGCACATGCCGATGACCTGGGGCCTCTGGTCGATCCTTCTGACCCCACTGCTGGCCAGCTCGTGCCAGGGCAGATAGTTTAGGGTTTAGGGTTTAGGGTTTAGGGTTTAGGGTTTAGGGTTTAGGGTTTAGGGTTTAGGGTTTAGAGGTCTGGAGTTGAGGATTCTTGGCACCTTAGTCTTGCGTGAACAAAGGTTTGCACAGGCGCCTAAGCAATTCCCCCTTATTCACCCTTTGGGCAATGTGAAAACTCCCAGTGTTGGAGTTTTGGGGTAAACCGGGCTAAGTAAACATGATCAGAGGACAGTCGTTTTGCTCTTCTGTATGAGGCGGCACGCAAAATTCCCGAAAGTAGCGCTCGCTCAGGAGGCCAAACAGCATCTGTAGGGCTTCGGCTAGATTGGTTTTCTGTAGCCACCTGTTTCCCAGATCGCATTCGCAGTGCAAGCACCTGTCCATTCGAGCCAGACCCAGACAGCATCTGTTAATGCGGAGTTGTCGTGATGTGGAGCTTGGAATGCAGGGGAAATCGCGCGCTAGCTCAGCGCTAGCTCCGTGCTAGTCGGCACTTGCTGCGGGACATCGCGACGTCGTCTGCGATTCCTTGACGATGCCCATTCAGTACATAACCGTATAGACTGCCTCACGTGCTGATGTCAGCAGAGGGCAAGCGCCCTTGAGAGACGAGATGCCGAACATTTGCGCTGCATCGAAACGAGTCCTCGCTCGAGATTGAGCCCCAACGGTTAGGCTTCTGTTTTTTGTTCCGCGGCCAGCTGATTTCAGGATTCTGGGTGACCGTGCGACATGTCTTACACATGAGGGCCCCTTTTGATGGGTAGCTATCTTTTGCTATATTTTTCAGGAGTCCTACCCTACTATGACGGGTATCGACGGGTATGGCTCCGGGTTGAAGGCAAGTAGAGGCATCAGAAGCTACCACAACGAAGCCTTAAGGCCATATTTCCCAACTTCAAGAGTAGCTACACCGAAAAAAACCTAAACCCTAAATCCTAAACCCTAAACCTAAACCCTAAACCCTAAACCAAAAAAAAACAACCCTAAACCCACCAATAAGTAGAGTTAAAGCAAGGCATGCTGACGTGCTGGGCATCAATGCGGTGACCTTTGCCACAAGCGACATGCGCGCCAGCTACGACTTCTACACAAAGTTGGGCCACTCAGCCGCTGAAAAGCCCCTAAGCCAGCTTTGGGGCGCGCAACCCTAAGCCCCTAAACCCGGAACCCTAAACCGCAAAAAAAAACCCTAAACCCTAAACCCTAAACCCTAAGCCCTAAGCCTTCAGCCACACACCCTGCATCATACTTAATCTTCTGCTGCCCCAAACTTCAAGGAGCTCCGGGCCCTTCGGTGTGGCGCGAAACCAAGCGAACTCAAACACTCAAAGGGGATAGAAGGGCAGTCACCCCCAGGCTGAAAAAAATGAGGGAAACCTTCACCCTAAACCCCAATCCCTGCACTTAAAGGCTTCAACTCAACACCATGTGGGTTGAACGGACAAGGGATCAACAAGCGAGAAGCTGTTGTTCTTGCGGCCACTACCATGTGAACATGCCCGTTGCGCAATGTATTGCGTTCGTGAAGACGCATGAGTAGAACTTCTGCCATCGTTGTACCGGTCACTGATACTTGCGATCATTAGGGCGTTTGCTAAGTTCACTGCTGCGGTACAAGCAGCGAGTTTCTTGAGAGCGTTTGCCTTTGGGGTTGAAATCTCGAGCGCCTGACGCAAGGGATTGAGAACTTGGGGTGCACACTAAACTTTCTTGACCCTAGACCCTACGCTCTAAACCCGAAACCCCAACCCCTAAACCCTCAACCCTCAACCCTAAACCCGAAACCCGAAAACCCTAAACCCTAAACCCTAAACCCTACACAAGCCTCAGGCATGAACTGCACATATGGCGGCCCGAGCGCAGACTTCACCACCTTCGGCACTGGCCGGGAGGGAGGGAGGCGTAGGCCTAAACCCTAAACCCTAAACCCTAAGCCCTAAGCCCTAAGCCCTAATCCCTAAACCCTAAACCCTAAACCCTGGACCTAAACGCTAAACCCGAAACCCTACACCCTGTTAGCTCCAAGATGACTGCCTTGTGCGAGTGTGAGAGCCGAAGCCCTAAATGTTAAACCCTGAACCCTAGACACTAACCCGAAACCCTAAACCCTAAAGCCCAAACCCTACACCCGAAACCCTACACCCTGTTAGCTCCAAGATGACAGACCTTCGATCCAAATCCTTGCCTGCCTTGTGCGAGTCTGAGAGCCGAAGCCCTAAACCCTAAACTTGGCCCTAAACCCTAAACTTACCCTAAACCCTAAACCCTACAGAAAGGACTGTTGTGAGGCGGAGTTGTTGGGTAGTTTTCAGTCATTTAATAAGGTTTAGGGTTAGTAAACGCTTACAACTTTAAACTTATGGCCTCACAACAGTCCATTCATAAGTGGGAATCTTGACCATGATGTTTGGCATACATGATTTGGGGGGGGGGGGGGGGGGGGGTCCTTGGAAGTTGGCCCATCTTGGCAGGAGGCCCCCCCCCCCCCCCCCCTCTCCCCCCCCCCCTCCCCCCCCCCCTCAAGCGTAACAGCCGTAGCTGTGCCACAGTTGGTTTGCTTTCACGTATTTCCAGACCTGTTATTCGGAAGTTCCCTGCTTTCGAAACACAGCCTTTGTTTCGAAACACAGCCCCTGTTTCGAAACATGGATGTCACAGCCACAACTGCTTCACAAAACGATATCCAATCTCACCTTGGTTTCAGCGCTATATCTGAAGGTTGCGATGTCACATGTGCGAGTAAAAGGATATCTGCTCATAGTATTCTCGCGTCCCCGGGGCCTACAGGACATGTCTTGATGATGTGGGTACTAATAATGTAGGGTTATAAGGTTTAAAATCCTATAGAGTTTAGCGTTATGACCCTAAACCCTATATGCTTTAAGGCTTAAGGAAAACAGTAAAGTGGTTAAATCACTGAGGGACTAGGGTTACGTTTTTGCAATGCCCTAAACCTTAAACTCTAAACCTTTAACCTCTTATAGGGTTTAAACCCTAAAGGGCTAACCCGGTAGGGTAGATAAACCCTGACCCGAAAGGGGCCCTATAGGGTTTAAGGCTTAACCTAGTTTGAATGCCCAAACTTAAATTTAAATCCCCAGGCCTTAAACCTCTGAAAACCTTATAGGGCTTAAAGGCTTTAATGCCTAAACCTGATGTATTTAAGGTCTGGGCATTTATACATTCAGCATTAGAACCCTAAACCCTTTATGCTGTAAGGCTTAAGGAAAACAGTAGGATTTAAGCCTCAAGGCCTATAATATAAGGTTATAAGGTTCTAATCCTATAGAGTTTAGCGTTATAACCCTAAACCCTATATGCTTTAATTAAGGCTTAAGGAAAACAGTAAAATGATTAAATCCCTGAGGGTCTAAGGTTACGTTTTTGCAATGCCCTAAACCTTAAGCTCTAAACCTTTAACCTCTTACAGGGTTTAAATCCTATAGGGTTAAACCTTTAAAAACCTTATAGGGCTTAAATGTTTTAATGCCTAAACCTGATGTACCTAAGGTATGGGCATTTATGCCTTCAGCGTTATAACCCTAAACCCTATCTTAAGGTAAACAGTAGGGTTTAAGTCTCAAGGCCTATAATATGGGGTTGTATCAAAACCCCGCGCAGTCGATTTTGAAAGGAATTGCCCGAAGCGTTTGGGCCGTGCTTCTGACTCGTAAAACGATAATCAAGAAAATAAACCGATAACTTTGTAGTAACAGGGCGGGCAGGCGCTATTCCAGTGATAAGCTTGTACTACAAATACATGAAAACATTGAAAACCCAGCCTGCTCAGCTTGCACTACAAATCAACGGAAACCTGGCCGGTTTCAGTACTAAGCTTGTACAACAAATCAATGAAAACCCAGCCTGCTCAGGGGCACGTCCGTTCCAGTACTAAGCTTGTACTACAAATCAACGAAAACCCAATCGGCTCACGGGAACGTCGGTTCCAGTACTAAGCTTGTACTACAAATCAACGAAAACCCAACCGGCTCACGGGAACGTCGGTTCCAGTACTAAGCTTGTAGGATGAATAGATTTAACTCGGGGTTTTTATACAACCCCATATAGGGTTATAAGGTTCTTGTCCAAAAGAGTTTAGCGTTATAACCCTAAACCCAAACACTATAAATATGCTTTCAGGCTTAAAGAAAACAGTAAAGTGATTAAATCCCTGAGGGTTACGTTTTTGCAATGCCCTAAACCTTGAACTCTAAACCTTTAACCTCTTATAGGGTTTAAACCCTATAGGGCTGCACTATAGGGTTTAAGGTTTAACCTAGGTTGAATGCCCAAACCTGAATTTAATTCAACCTTTAAAAGCCTTATAAGGCTTAAAGGTTTTAATGTCTAAACCTGATGCATCTAAGGTCAGGGCATTTATACCGTCGGCGTTATAACCCTAAACCCTCGTACATCTGCTTTGCACTCGCAACAAAATCAACTTCATCCAAAACACTGCATCACATTCAAAAAAACTCCGCCTCACAACAGTCCCCTCTCAAACCCTAAACCCCAAACCCTAAACCCTAAACCCTAAACTTACCCTAAACCCTAAACCCTGAACTTCTTGTTGCGAAGCCTGGGGTTTGCGCAGGTGGGGGCCCTTCCGGCGGCGACAACCGCTACCATGTGAACATCTTTCGGCGCCTGGTCGACCTTGGGGCAAGGGGTGGGGGTTTAGGGTTTAGGGTTTAGGGTTTAGGGTTTAGGGTTTAGGGTTTAGGGTTTAGGGTTTAGGGTTTAGGGTTAGGGAGGGTGTAGGTTTTAGGGTTTAAGGTTTAGGGTTTAGGGTTCAGGGTTCAGGGTTCAGGGTTTCCCGTTTAGGGGCCCCAGCTCCGAGTAAAATACAGGTTCTCGGAAGCACAGGGTTTAGGGTTTTAGGGTTTATGGTTGCAGGGCTTCGGGGGTTTTGAAGCTGATAGGGCATGATCTACGGTTCTGGCCTTTCGGGCTTGGGTTTTTTGGGTTACGGTTTCATCTTTTTTTCCTCTCGATGTTTGCCATTCAGGCATTGATGGGGCGCGTGTGCGCCCATACCGCACCCTGAGTTCAGTGCTCTGAATGATGGGTCTCTTTCTCGCGGGCTTCTGTTGTGATCATACGGCTCCTGCTAATTTCGAGCAGCCCCCTCCCCCTGACCCCCATGTTGCTAAACGCTACACCCTGAACCCTAAACCCTAAACCCTAAACCCTATATACTTCCTAAACCTTTTTTTTTGCGGTGGGGGGGGGGCACCCTGAACCCTAAACCCTATATACTCCCTAAACCCTTTTTTTTTGGGGGGGGGAGGTGGCCTCTCTGGCTTTGCAGCTCTCGGTTCTTTCTGTAGGCCCAGGGTAGCTGCAGGTGATAAGACCAGAGGCGAGAGGCCAGAGGAGACGTTTAAGGGCTTTCTTCGAAAGCTGTGAGGGTTTAGGGTTTAGGGTTTAGGGTTTAGGGTTTAGGGTTTAGGGTTTAGGGTTTAGGGTCCCTCTTCTTGTTGGCAAGCCCTCAGCCGCCCTAGTGGTTTTTGCATCGCCAAATTGCCTTCGCAGCCTTTGCCGCCCTTCCCGGGTTTGTTGAGGGGTTTGTTGAGGTGGTGTTGGCTTGGGTTGTGGCACGTTTCACGCATAGCCAAAAAGATCTGCCATACCCTCCCCCCCCCCCCCTCAACCCCCCTGGGTTTGTTGGGGAGTCGTTACCACATGAACAAGGGCGCCAACAAGCCGCCGAACAGCTCAACACCCTAGCCCCAAACTCTTGCAGCCTAGAATCGGCGCAGAACTGCATTCGGCGAGGTCTGCAAGCTACACACCGCCATCGGGTGGAGCGCGCTGTCTGAATGTTCAGGGTTCGGGGGTTTGGGCTCAGGGCCTGCTGCAAGAATCTCCGTGGCAGCTGACCCTAGACCCTAAACCCTAAACCACAAACCCTAAACCCTGAACCCTAAGCCCGAAAAACCCGAGCTAGGAGTCTCCCCCCCAAAACCCCTGTGGAAGCCCCACGCTTGAAAAGCCTGGCCATGCCGGCTTTGTCTAGGTGGTTTAGGCTTTAGGGTTTAGGGGTCCTGAACCCTAGGCCCCTTAAACCCTGAACCCGAAACCCCAAACCCCAAACCATGCTGGGGGTTCGTCTAACTGTGCTGGGGCCAAAAAAAGCGAACTACCAGGCCTGGAATGGGGTTGGCCGAAGCATCTTCTACGTGTCGGACGTGGATGGCTTCTATGCCCAGTTCCTGGGACTATTTGATAAACCCTAGACCCTAAACCCTAAACCCCAAACCCTAAACCCCAAACCCCAAACCCTAAACCCCAAACCCTAAACCCTAAACCCTAAACCCCAAACCCTAAACCCAAAAAAAACCCTAAACCCGAAGCAATCAACCTGGGGTTGATATTCGACATTCGTTTCAAGTTCAACACGAGCTACGCAGTCTATTTGCAACTTTACAGGTCCGGGTAGTTCTCTAAATCAGGGTCCCTAAACCCTAAACCCTAAACCCTAAACCCTAAACCCTAAACCCTAAACCTTGTTTTGGGTAGCCTATGTAGCACGGCACCCTGAGAAGAAGGACCTTCAGAAAGGGACCCTAATCTAGAGGGCTCCCCCAGGAAGGAGAATTATCTTGTCGTGCTTTTGAGAGCCCCAAACCCTAAACCCTAAACCCTAAACCCTAAACCCTAAACCCTAAACCCTAAACCCTAAACCCTAAACCCTAAACCCTAAACCCTAAACCCTAAACCGTCTCATCGTGCTCTCCGGGTACGTGGGGTCCGCTGTTGCCAGGATCACTGTCGCAGGGCTGAAGACAGAGTTCCCACCGAAGCTTGGTCGGCAAGAAGGGATTTCGGGTCTAAACTTACCCTAAATCCCTAAACCCCGAACCCTAAACCCTAAACCCTAAACCTGCTGCGAGTGTGAGAGCCGAAACCCTAAACCCTAAACCCTAAACCCTAAACCCTAAACCCTAAACCTGGGCTGTAGGGTTGAGGTTGGTAGGGATTGTGGACCTCCAAAGATTCCCTCGTGCCAAGTTTTGACGCGCGCAGTAGGGTTTAGGGTTTAGGGTTCAGCACGTCCCCTGAGCTCTCAACAAAGGGCTTGGTGGGCTAAGCCCTTAGCCAAACCCTAAGCCCTCAAAAGCCCCCTAAACCCTAAACCCTAAACCCTAAACCCTAAACCTAAACCCTCTTGAGGAGGGACGCAGATTGGGGCGAGCGCTATTTTCAGATCCTGGACCCCATGGGCAATGAGCTGGCTTTCGCCGCCCCACTGAGTCGGCTCGTAGTTTAGGGTTTAGGGTTTAGGGTTCAGGGTTCAGGGTTCAGGGTTCAGGGTTCAGGGTTTAGCTCGACCGTCTACAATGTCGAAATATGCTAAGCCCTAAAAAGCTAAAACCCCCCCCCCCCAAAAAAAAAAAAAAAAAGATCCTTCAATCTCCAACGGGTAGCCTCACACTGGAATCTGCCGCCTGCACCTCAAACCTAGAAGCCACGAAGCCACGAAGAAGGAGGTTGGTCTTAGGGTTTGGGTTTGGGGTGCAGGTTGGGGTTTGGGGTTTGGTGGTTTGATATAGGGTCGGAATAGTTTACTAAGAATATTCCTTTATGGTCCCTTCAGAACTATACTATAACAACCCCAAAACCCTGTTCTAATTATTAAGGCTCCTACAGTAAGTCTTTTTATGCGAAAGGGTCTGTGGTGTAAGGCTCAGGGTTTCGGGTGTATAGGGTTGCGGGTTTAGGGTTGGGAAGTTTGGGATGTTTCGGGTGAGGGGTTCATTTTGGGGGCTGTTTAGGATTTAGGGTTTAGGGCGGCAAGGATGCAGTGGCATCGGAAGAAGGGCGCCGTGGCCAAAAGCATCTGCTGCGCACAGACAGCTTCCCTGGAGCTGCATATTCTACAGACACATATGTACAAACTTGTATATATATATATATATATTGTATATGGTAACCCCCCCCCCCCCCCCCCCCCATGATCCATATGTATCCTTTTTTGCTAGTCCTTCTGCACCTGTGCTTACTTACACATATGGTTGACGTGTAAAAACACCGTTATGTACGATACTTCATGTCTTGCCATTTCTGAAGCTACAACTTGCTATTCATTATCTATACTTTTACATAACAGAAATCTACAAAAGAATGCGTTTGTGGATTTGATTTTGTGCGGTTTGCACATCTCTGTTATTCAATCTATAAGAACTATCAACATACACCTTCTTGAACTTCAACATTGTTCATTAATTAGACAAAAATAGTCATAAACTATTTTATAACGCATAGACAAAAAAGAAGAAGTGAATGGGGTTTTATATGAAGCACCTAACACAGAAGCAGACTACATAGTGAAGTTAGAAACGAATTAGCGGGGACAGAGGCATTCTTAACGGACACGCAAGGACTTAAAATAGGGTCCGAGAATCCTGACGGGATTCATCAAAGTGGTTCTATTTTATACATTGCTGGGACAAAAAGCGGCAGAGATGTTATGATGACTTAAAACTACCTTTATATAAGACGCAACAGACTCAGCGTGATAAAGGTGTAGATAAGTTCATTCAAGACGGTTTTACTGAAATAGATGGTTAAGAGTTACTGGAATTACTGATATTATCAGTCATAGTTGAGGTTCAGCATCGGGACAACAATCAAACAATGATTATGGTAATGTATTCAGAAGTCGTAGTTCTGGTTCTCCTATTGTATCAGGACAACGACCAGAAGACACTGGGACAAATTTAAGAATACGAAAAGCAGGAGACCCCGTTAGTATGTTTGATAAAGGAAGTATAACATCAAATGAATCAACATTAGACATTTACAAACTCATTCTTATGAAGATATAGACAATGCTAAAAACAAAGCAGGAAATCTACCTATCACCGAAGAAAAAATTTTGCAATAGTTCGATTCAATGATCTAAATTAAATTAATAATGCTTCAAAAGAAAGCAACAGCATACGAACAAAAAAAGAAACCGAAGAAAGATAAGAAAGTCAAACAAAATGCTTACGAATAGATAAGAAAGTTAGTCGAGAATAATGAAGTAGAAGAAGCAGTTAAGGAGGTGAAAGGTAAGAAGAAGAACAATAGTAAAGAAAACTCATATAGTTTTAAGCCATTTGATGAACTATAAGTCTAAAGTATATGTAATGAAATTATCTCATCTCTGCTATGTATAGATGTAATGGAAACTGTTATCCCCGAAGATATCCTCAATGATGATTTATGTTGTAAATTAAACAAAGGTAGTTCTTATATTAAATGTCAAGGGTTTAAGAAGAAAACGGTTGTTGGATTTAAGCCATTGCGTGGCCTCTGCTCACAATTTCAGTATTTGTTGTTAAAAATGTGGGAAACTTAGCAGTTGAATGAGAATTAGTAACTAATGCTACTGATTGTAGTAATTCTCGCAGTCAGAATTTCAAGAGATTTCGGGAAAACTCGAGCAGGCTCGAATTTTCCGAAAATTCTTGAAGCACCAGGTCGCAAAAACCCGAGCAGGGTCGAATTTAAGAGGATTAAAAATAAATTCTGTCATCTATGAGGCCTTGGGGTCACACAGCCACGGTTTCAGCAATTCGTGGGCAAGGCCCAAAAATTCACGAGCAAGGCCCAAAAATTTGTTGGGCAAGGCCCAAATACTGGTGGGCAAGGCCCAAAAACTGGCCTGACCCTAAACCGTTGAGCCCCTAAACCCTTGAGACCCTAAACACTTGAGACCCTGAACCCACATTTAGGGTTTCAGGGCCTCAAGGCCTGGCGCTTAGGGTTTCAGGGCAGGCCCGGCGTTTAGGGATTCAGGGCCTCAAGGCCTGGCGTTTAGGGTGTGAGGGCCCCAAGGCCTGGTGTTTAGGGTTTGAGGGCCTAGGTTGGAGTTTGGGTCGAATTCGAAGCTCCATACAAGTTGGAGCGCGGGTTAACCCCAACCTCAACCTGGGTTGGGGTTGCCCTCCGGGTTCGGACCCGAGGTTACAACCCGAGTGAACCCAAACCCTCAACCCCAGCCCGCGGGGTACGCTCGTGTTTCGGCGACCTACTGTGTCATTTTTTTTTGAAAATTCGAGCCGGCTCGAATTTTCCGAAAATTCTTGAAGCACCAGGTTGCGACAACTCGAGCAGGCTCGAATTTTCCAAAAACAACCTAAGTTTCAGGATCTACCGGGCTGCTGGAGCCATAGATCCTGAAATTTAGGGTCTTTTTGAAAATTCGAGCCTGCTCGTGTTTCGGCGACCTACTGTGTCAGTTTTTTTTTGGAAAATTCGAGCCGGCTCGAGTTTTCCTAAAATTCTTGAAGCCTTCTGTCCCGGAAACTCGAGCAGGCTCGAATTTTCCAAAGAAAAACCTTCCTTTCAGGATCTAACGGGCTGCTGGAGCCATAGATCTAGGTTTTTTTTGGAAAGTTCGAGCCTGCTCGTGTTTCGCATAATGCCCCATCAGGCCAGGTTAGGGGTTGGAGTTCAACTTCAACCAAACTCAAAGATAGAAGTTGGAGTTAACTTGAACTTTTGAACTTCTTATTTGGAAATCTGTTGAACTTCACTCCAACCTGGGTTAGAGTTCAGGTTAATGAACTCAAATCTAAAACTCTGGGTTGGAGTTTCGTGAACTCCAACCTGAACTCAGATTGGAGTTCGAGTTTAACTTTGCTTTGATCCGGCTTGAAATTTAGTGGGATTTTGCAAAGGGTCAAGGGGTTGAAGGGTCGGCTTTGAAAGGGCTTTGAGAAACCAGTGTCGAGAAAGCCAAGCGGATGTGGTGGTGCAGAGTTTGATCGAAGTTTGATTTTCAGAAGGCAAATTGTTTGATGTGATTCTTCTCAGGCTGAAACACACCATATCTTGCTCTTGGAGACATCAAACTTTGAGAATCAAGCTTTGACATGTTCTTCAAAGATTGTCAAAGTTTGACAAGTGTTTGGTGCATTCTTTTGGCTTGGTGCGGAAAAAGTCCGGAAATTCGACTTGAATGGTGCTTCGGTGTATTTTGTAAGGTCTGAGATTTGCAGGAAGGATCTGGGACCCTTCACGAAAGGCAGGCCTCAGTGCTGAAGGCTTCGAAGCCCTTCGAAGCCCCCAAGCCCCTTTGAAGCTTCCTCAAGCCCCCTTGCCCTTCGGCTTCGAAGCCCTTGAAGCCTTGAAGCCCTTCGGAGCTAAGCAAGAGGGTTTGCAGGAACTGTGCTTGAATGATTTTTTTTGCAGGTGCTTTAATTTTGACAACGGAGCAGCTCAATTGCTCAAACTGCATTCCTGCTCCCTCTTCCGCGCCCTCTGCGAACAAGTCGGTGGCTTTCTAATGCTTGCCTCCAACTGAGAAATCAGACCTGTCTAGAAGTTCGTCGCTGCATTCTCGAGTGAGAAGGCTACACAGAAGCTTGCCGACTACATCAAGGCTCGTTGCAGTGCCAAACCATGGTGACAAGTTTCACAGTCAGGCAAGAGGTTTGGTGAATTTTTGCTTGTAGGGGTTTGGGTGAAGTGTGCAAAGCAAGGGGATGCGCTTGTATGACGAATTTCCGGACTGAGCGCCGGGATTTGGTGGAACTGTGCTTGCACGACGGATGTCCGGAGCTAAGCAAAGGGGGGGGGGTTGGGGGAACTGCGCTTGTATGACGAATTTCCGGGGCTAGCAAAGGGGAACTCTGCTTGCACGACGGATTTCCGGAACTAAGCAAACGGGGGGGGGCTTGGGGGAACTGCGCTTGTATGACGAATTTCCGGTGCTAAGCAAAGGGGGTTTGGGGGAACTGTGCTTGTGTGGCCACTTTCCAGCGCGAAGCAAGGGGTTTGGGGAGTGGGGGAACTGCGCTTGTAAAACGAATTTCCGGGGCTAAGCAAAGGGGGTTTGGGGGAACTGTGCTTGCGTGGCCACTTTCCAGAGCCAAGCAGGGGGTTTGGGGGAACTGTACTTGTATGGCCAATTTCCAGAGCTACGCATAGGGGTTTCGGGGAACTGCGCTTGTATGACGAATTTCCTGGGCTAAGCAAAGTGGAGCGAACAAGGGGGTTTGGGGGAACTGCGCTTGTATGACGAATTGCCGGAGCTAAGCTAGGGGTTTGGGGGAACTGTGCTTGTATGTATGACGAACTTTGCTTGTGTGCCAGGCCCTGCCCAAAGACGCACGTATTCGCTTGCACGCACTGCTGCGCGTTTGCCCCGGTCCGGAGGTCGTGAAGGCAACTCTTTCCTTCGACGTGACTTGCCAAGGCCCAACTTTTGTGGCGGACACGGGGAAGACTCGCACCTGCTGCGTGTGCGAGAAGGCAGGTCCCAGTTCTTTTTTGCGA